TGGCACACGAGATGCGATGACGATGTAAGTAAGTGTCATTTTTAATGTTTTTCTTAGCCTATCTAGTTGAAGCCACTAGATGCAGCGCTGCTGCGTTGTTAATTACAAATATTGCGGGAAAATAGAACAACAATGCGGAGAAGATGTTGTTTACGTCAAAACTGAAACCAAGCCGTTCACACAGAACACATATTTTGAACATTTTCTAGAGGGACATCTATCACCGTTGCACTAGCGTCTCGCACAAAAGAGCAGCATTTTTAGAAAGCCATGTAAAAGTAATGCAAGTTCAACTTTGAAAAAACATATCTCGAGACTTTATGGCGGTTTTTCCCCATCCCGAATTGAATATAATTCGAATTTTGATAATATTGAAGTACAAAATTAGAATTTAGTTTTTCAGCCATTTTGACAGCCCTAATGGACTTTGTCCAAAATTTTGCTCATGTGAGTCCAAATTAATGAAGCGGTTCTTTTTAATTATTTAAAAGCAAACAGTGTGACCAATGAAGTCTGATTATTGTACCATCTTCAAAAAACACAGGGCAGTGCCATAGAACCACGTCCAGAAAGCTGTGGTAGTATCATGTTATTGTTTTTTGTCAGCTATGTTTTGCTGCATCACTGAATAGATCCATATGCAAACAACAGACTTAAGGGTCATGCATTTCTTTCCACATGTAACTTATAGATTAAGTCAAAAGCAATTAAAAATTGTGGAATCCTTAGGAAAGACAACCTACAGTACAAATACAAAAGCAAATAAGCTTCACAATCAATAATTAGTCAGTGCAGATTGACTGTTAGATTGTTCATATATTTTTTATGAATCTGGTTTCAAACTGTGTCCTGTGTGTGTGTGCCTTGAAGGACTACACATTAGCACCAGCATGGACAGGTCAGATATTTGATTGTACCATAAGCAGAAGATCAATAGTTCCATGTCCCTGTGGTCTCCTACACAAGGCCAACGTCAAGCACTTCCGCCACATTCACAATTGCTATCTCCAGAAATGCCTTTCCTTCATTGATTCCCTTTTCTTTTTATTAGATAGCACAGAAAACAAGTCTATGAAAAGGTGCTTTGCAACAAACTTCTTTAACCCATCTGGTGACATGCCTGTGTCTTGTAAATGGAATTCATTAAAACGCATCTAATCAGTGACTGGGTTGAAACCAGGGTCCCCAGCTAAACTAAGTACAACCAGTCCACATTACCAATCCAATCAAGGTGAAAAAGATTCGATTAACATAACTCATTAACCAGTTACACTGACAATGTCCACCAGCCCCTACTGATCAGAAGCCTTAAACAAACATACTCCACACTAACATAAACATGTTAAACACATCGGTCAACCACTTCCAAATATCCATATATTCTATTAAAGGGGTCATATGGCGTAAACATAAAACCATGTCTGCATTTGTGATCGGAGAAACGACAAACAACAAGCGCTACTCTACACTGCTTAAAACTCGCGTTTGAATCATCAGTGGCAAATTCTTTAAATATAAAAAATGTACTTACAGGCTGTGAGTCAGAAGCGCCAGACTGTCCTTGCAAAGTTGGAACGGCCCCACTTTATAGAACAGCCTTTGAGCACAGATCCATTGTAGGCTATGCAGAACTGCAGGTTCAGGAAACAGTCCTCCATAAAATGCGTCACACAGCGTCACAAACTGCGGGCTAGAGTGAGGAACGCCCGGCGGTCTTGCGGCAACCACATGTGACGACCCCGGGCTAGACTCCGCTTCGTCCACGGTGAAAGCCGATATTTCCTCAGCGACCAGCTCAGATCAGCTCTAGGCATGACGAAGCGGATATTGTCCTCTTTTGGAAGGCCAAACAAAGTAGTTTCACTTTCACAACGAAACACACAGCACCTTCATCACACCGACTGCATCTCCACAACATGGCGGTGGCGGCGGCAACAACAATACTACAGCGAGAATAAAAGTTACGCCTTCTTTCTTTGCGTGAACATTTGGGCGGTGTTATGCAAATCTTCCCACACAGTGACGTAGACATGTGGGGGCGTGTTTAAACGAGGCGTTTTAGGAGGGCATGGACAAGTCTTAACTTTTATAAAGAATATCTCTTTGGATTTGAGACTTTAGTCTTTGCAACTTTACAGATCTTCTTTATGCACCAAGAGCTTGGAACACTCCAAAGAGAAAGGAAAAATTGAAATCGCATCATATGACCCCTTTAAAAAAAAACATCTATGAATAACAATGACTTTAATTACATGCAGCCTCATAATGCGATAATAATGGGATTTTGCCAATATTGGGATTAAACTTTACCTCATGTAAACGCAATACTTAGATCAAACTAATGTGATTAAGCTCATAATCGTAGTAACCATAATCACATTCAAATACATGGCATACGTAAAAAAATATGCCAAGTAAACAGGGATGTAAACGCCAAAGTGCGCATGTGCTCGGTCGTAGAGGGATACCGTGTGTTGTTTATTCTAAGATTTTCACTCTGAATCTCTTTATACACAACTCACTGCACAGCCTCAGCTCCATATCTTCATCCAAAGACGGTGCAAAGAAAGCGGTGCAGCGTAGGCAAACCTAGTTACTGCAGAATTCCTCACAGTGCCAAATGTAAGCAGTACATAAAGTAACGAATGTAACTGATGTAAGCAGATGGTAGCCAGTAACATGCATAATGCGAGTTCATCATTTGTGCTGTATAATTCAGAATAATGAAATACTGAAAACTGCATGCAAACAGAAGTAAAGGGGTTTGCTAGCGTCATATAAATATCTTACTGCCATGAATTCCTTACATTAATTGTTGGAAATGAACCACATTATTGGTGCACATGTAAACAGTCAATGATAAGAAAACTCTAAACTGCATTTCTTGTGTAAAACTGTTAATGTTGTGTAAAAGGATACCATTATACAATAAAACATTTTGGAAAGAGTATCCACAGAGAAGTTTTCAATTTGAATAAATCACAAATTATCTTAAATATCAAATTAACTGCACGATTTGGGCCCCGTTGTTAATTTTCACAATTAACATGTTCTTAATGTACCAAATAAGGCGGTTCCCTGTATAATTTACAGCATCAGGTGCGGTGCATTTACCATTGCTTAGCAAAATGTTGTGCATGACATCCAGTCATGCCAATAGGAATTCACACAGTTGGAAGTTTTGCGTGAGGGAGAAAGATTTCCCCACACAGATTTATCTCATTTTCAAGCTGGTCACATGAATTCACCACACTGACCAAGAGAAAGCCTGGTTTGAAAGTGATTTCTGTGTGAGCTGTGCTTCATACATCTCTACTACTGACAATAGACAATGGATTTTTGCACCCAAAATTTCACTGAATGTGATCACACCTTTAGATTAGAGAGAATTTATTTCATCCCAAAATTGTCATTATAACTGGATTATACCAGAATTAATCAGAATCAAATCAAAACAAATCAAAATTATTGGTTGTGAACCAACTCAAATCGAATCGAAACCCTGTGAAAAGGAATCAAACGAAATCGAGAAATCTGTATCAATACCCGGCCATGGTTAGGACTAAAAAATAAATAGTTTTACACATCCTTATTCTATACCATATTTATCTCTGTCTCTCTTCTCTTGTTAGGCTGTTAGATTCATGTCCACTATATGCAGCACTACTGTTAACTGCTGTACATTACAGCTGTTGTTATTATTTATAATGACTCATAAAAGCGAGAGGTAAACCCCTCATAAATCACACAAGCCAGGAGGCGTAGTGAGCTCCGGCAGGTCTTATTTCTTGCATCTCACACAAACACAATCCACCCTAATTCATCACGGCCACACAGCGAACATGTCGCACACCCTACTATATCTCTGCTCCTCCAGTTCCGCCCCTTCATTTCTTTGTTCATTCGTTCGGCCCCTATCCAACTCCACCGGGTCGCATCCACAGGGGCGGCGAGGAGAAAATGGAATGCATGATTAACCTGTAGCCAGAGCTGATCCCTAACCTGTAGGACACCAGCAGTCTGAATGAGGTCCTTTCACGGGGTGCCTGTGCAAAATGCCTGAGGAAAGCGCTCTTTGTTATTGCAGCATGGCTGCTTTATGATGCTGAAAAAAGCCTTATTAGCGGTTGAGTAATTGACATGTCGTTTCCAGCAGTCCTTGGGCTGTTTTTGCTGATTGCTCATGCTAGTTTTCTATTTTTCCATTTTGTGTTTTCCCCTTCACCCTTTTTTCATTCACACTCTTAATAAGTAAATGATTCCTTTTTCTGTCAAGGTAACATTTATGTCTCACTCTCGTCTTGTTAGCGCTTACATATTCATCCAAAAATGCCTGATGGCTGCCAAAATTCAGGTGCTTCTCAATGTCGGCCCAATTGCTTCTGCTTCTTTTGTGTAAATTAGACTGTTGGCCTTTTAGGACTCTGGAAAATAACTATATAAATAATAAATAAGGTCAAAATGTATACAGTATATACATGTATCGGGAAAGGTGTAAATGTTCGTTTCTGTAACCGGTCACATTTTTTTCACCACTTCAAGCAACTATTTGTAAATTTATTTATTCATTTTTATATAGTTCTCATAGTTTCAAAATGCAAAGTTTTAATTAATAACAACACTGGTCCATGGCCCTGTAATTTTTGTTTTGTTTTTTGGGTGATGTATAGCATGTCTTATGTTTTACTACTCAACTATGTTTCAATTTTACTGCTGAAAAAAGATGGTTCAATTCTTTACAAATTTCTGACTGAGTCAGATTTTTGTTTGTGTTGTTTTTCACATCTTTTTAGATAACTGGTATCAATCTCAGACAAGTTTGTTCAATAGTTTGCCAGGCCTTCTTAGGTAAATGGAAACCCTACTTAAAGAGGTTGTTCCACATTATTAAGCAAGTCACAGTTCTCATGCAATATGGTGAGGAAGAAAGATCTTTCTGAAGATGAAAAGTATGAAACAATGCAATGTCTTATTATCAGTGTTGGAAACAGTTGTGCTTCTTAACAGTTTTGTGGAAACAGTAATTTTTTACTGTCATTTTTGTTCAATTTAATCCATCCTTGCTGAAAAAAAGATGGTTCAATTCTTTACAAATTTCTGACTGACCCCAAACTTTCAAACAGGAGAGTAGTTATCTCATCTATTAAATAAGCAAAAGAATCAAACCCAACCACATGGTGAGCGTTTACACCAAAAGAAATGCTAATCTACAATAATCATCCATCAGCTGAGAGTAACAAATATTAGCATAAACTAAAATCATTCAAATTAAATAATTTCTTAAAGTGTCAGTCCATAAGTTTTGCCTCTTTGTCGCCATCTCTGTTTGAAAACCTGCAATTGCAGCTGTTTGTGGAATTATCTTCCTTGCGTGGGTTGTGCGCCGGCACGGCTCCAGCGCGGATGAATCTAATGTTTTGAGGAGTATGTGTGGCACGATGCATTTAATTATTCTAGCTGCTGTGAGAAAAGGCTATAAACCAGGGTTCCTCAATAGGCGGCCCGTGAGAGAAAAATGTTTGGCCAGCGCTAATTTCAAATAATGTGGCATGAAAATTCAAACGCAGCATTAGAAAGCTACATTACCTTACATCGTGTCTACACCGGACGTGAGAGGCGCAACAAAAATACAATAGAACCCATTATAATCAGTGGTGCTCTCTACACTGGATGCGGCGTGGCATGACGCGACAAAATACAATAGAAACCATTATAATCAGTTATGCTCTCTACACAGACAGTAAACTGCTGCCGCGTTCCGTTTATGATGCACTGACATAAAGATCAAATGATTTGCAATGCTTTGTCGCGTCCAGTGCAGATACGATGTGACAGCAAAAACATGGCGAGTGTGAAGAAAAGAAAAGTAGACCCGGAAAATAGATTATTCAAATGTGAATGGACTGAACAGTTTTGAGTGACTGAGTGACTGATACCATCTTTTTATGGAATACATGTGTTGGTTCGCAATGAGTTCACAGTTTTAAAGTACAAGTTTACTTTAATTTATTTTCAAGATCTGAGGTAAAATATTTATTGTTGCTTTCACTATGGCTATAAAGATCACGCAAAATAATATTCAAACTCAGACACTTTTAACATTGAATAAAGCACATAATCATTACCTGAGATTATCACTGTCATATTTTGTATGTTGTTCCTGCCGCGAGGTCGCAGAAAATAAAAATATTGTGAATGAGAAAATGTTTAGAAAATGTTTCTAAAATATAATCCCATGTCGCTTATTGTCATGTGTCGCTGTCGTGGGTGGTTAGTGCAAAAGCTACATGGAAAAGATACTTTTTATCTTGTCTGGTTGGGACACATGGTGTTACAGTTACAGTTTGATCCCCCCAAAAAAATCCAAGTATAAAAATATTAATGCTGACAGATCTAATAATTGAATCTGCAATTAGGGAAAGTGGAGAGAAGAGATCCAGTCTGGGGATGAGCACATTTTCAAACTGTTTAGCACCATGGTATTTATGCATCATGGGATAGTGTGTTGTCCTGCATGAAAATCATTTTATTTCCAAGAGCACTATTCTTCATTTTATACCACAGCAGAAAATGGTCAGTTATGAACTCCACATATCTTGCAGAA